CCCGTGTCCCCTGCATCGGCAGGCGGACTCTCAACCACTGCGCCACCAGGGAAGCCCCTATCCCCTATTTTATGTGTACTGGGCAGCTTCTCTCACCTTCTTACTTCTGTTCAAATACTGAAAAGCTTTTTACCATTTCCCTCCAACTTTCCAGTAGCATAAATCGCACATTGTCTCTTTAGAGTTTTGTGGTCTCTCTTGTATCAGCAGTGTTCTGCCTCAAGCCAAAAATTAATGCAGACACACTGGTTATCAAAGAAAGACCTGAAGAGGCTCAGAAGGGAAATGGCCCAGACAGTGAGAAGCTTGAAGGAATTCAGCAGTGACCCCTGAATCTTCCCACTTCTGAGTCATCACCCTTTTGTTCATTCAACCAGCACCCTCTAGAATTAAATACCTTCTGTGTGCCATTCTGCTGGGAACACAAAGATAAATGAACAGCAGCTCTGCCCTCTATGATCTCATTAACAGAGCCCCGAAGAGCTCTACGATCTTCATGCCCTCACCAGTCCCATGGCAGTGGGCACTTGGATGTTCTGAGTATCAGCAGATGCTGGGTATCGCGCTGAACACCTTAGGTTCATCTCCTCACAATTCCACTGGGGGCTAGCTTATATCATCCCCATTTTACAGATGGAAAAGCTTCAGTGTAAAGAATTCAATTAACCTGCCCCATGTGACATGGGTTGTAAGTGGTGAAATCAGGGTCTGAACCAAGGCTGTCTGGAAGCAGAGTCCAGCTCTGGTGGCTGCTGTCCTATGTGGCTCCGCTCTCAGCCACAGCTGATTGACTGGTCCAGGAGTAGACACCTGAGCCAAGCACAATCAGATTCCCATTGGAATTTCCAGTTAGGCCTGAGTCAGTCTTTGCTGGGTAGCTGAACTGGGATGTAGTGAACACCGTGCAATTGGGAGGGTGGGTATGGAGACGTGAGAGCACGTGCTTGAGGGGGAGGAGGAAGCTGGTGTGTGGACAGAGAGAACAAGGGAGAAAGTGGAGGAAACAGAGATGAGAGTAAGGAGAGACAGGTAGTGAGGGAGCCAGAGATCTGCACACGAGAAGCTGCCTCAGCTCCTAATCCCTTTTCAGTTTCTGGTTCCAACCCTATACAGGGTCCCAACTGGGCTTCTGCCTTTCGATTCCTTCTAGGAAACACCTCTGAATCTCTGATACGTACCCCGCCTTTTTTTCTTAATCTGTTGTAAGTGGGTTCTTTTCTCTAGTACTTGTGGCCGAAAGAGCCTTCATGACGGTAAGCTAGTATCCTCGTTCAGTGGGTGGACAGACCCTGGAGAGATACCAGCTGGGCAATAAGGAAGGTGTTATGGACAGAGGCCCATGGAGTCCCAGGAGAGGTTTCAAGGAGGAAGGGAAGCTGAGCCAGACCCCCAGGGGTCTTCTGGGTGAAGAGTGGGCTGCAGTGGGGGGAGGCAGAGGAGCTCTTCCAGGAGATGGGTCCCTGTGGACAAAGTGGTAGATGACAGCTGGTGTGGTGTATTCTAGAAGGAGAGTAAAGAAAGGTCCTGTGGGGCTGTAGGAGGGGGAAAGGTGGAACCACAGGGGCACGGGTGTGCACTACAAGGGGGATTGCCTCTGACAAGACCATGGGTAGGAGAGCCAGCGTGCCCCTATAGAAGCATCTGGTCTACTCCAACAAGAAGGACGAGTTAAGTGACTCTCCTCGATGTTCATCTTGGGGAACTGAACCATAAAAAGTTTTTATTTTCTCATCCTTTTGTCATACCTTAATTTGTACTTATCTTTTTAATACACATACTTTTAATGGATTTCAAGTCAGGTTGTTACTTTAAAAGCCCACATTTGTAAAAAAGAACACTTTAGAAATTGAGAGGACAAAAAAGATTTTAGGGCCCGCAATAGATCAAATTCATATATGACACTCATGAATGCAATTTTCAAGGTGATTGACTGTGGTCATAGAGTATTGGAATGCTTTAAACAATATGGAGCCATTTGGATGTGACTGGCAACTGAACTCAAAATGTGGCTCCAAATGTCCACGTCAAGGTATTGACTCTGTCCTAAAGGTTCAAGCAAATCTGAAACCACATTAGAAATTGGAGTCCTTTTATTTGGAGTCAGAGAGTAACTCATTCCAGAACATTTCCCCTCATGTTTTCCCAAGTGGCAAGGTCTAGTGAGAGAAGCCCTCTACACTTGCATTGAAAGTATCCATTCACCGCTCTGGGAGATTTATATGCCAGCATGACACAATGTCAACTTCAGCAGCCAAGTCCATTTTTCATTTCAGGCTTCCGTGAAAGGACTCTTTAAAGTCTACTTGAAAGATTCAGCAAGGCCATAAAACGAAATTCTAGCAAGTTGCTTTGTGAACTAGTCTTCCAGTTATAGCTCTACTGCCCATTATTATTTCAAAGGGCTTATTCATCTCAAAACTACAGTTCCTTTCTTTCTAACAAAAATGAGATGCCCTCTGCCTTTTTGGAGAGCAAAGCCTGCTATTACTACTTTCCAATCTACCCTAGCTGAGGAAGGGGAATGACAGATGATATACGTTTGTGTTTTCAGAAGGAAGAGTGGGAAGCGATATCAAGTAAAAGGAGAGCTTGACTCTATGGAGAGGGTGAAATAAAATAGCTAACATTTACTGGATGCTTACATGCATTAACTCATTTAATCCCCTCAATCATCTTGTGAGTCATATACTATTACTTATGAAATTTTATAGATGACAAAACTGTTGCAGGGAGAGGTCAAGTAACTTTTGCCCAATGTCACCAGACATTACTTTCCTTCCAAGAAAAGACCTGCTTGCACGGTGATGATGAAGTGAAAAAGAAGAAAAGACAGATTCTAATGTGTCCAGGCCCTTCTTATCGGCACAGATACAATGGGGAAATAGTGCGTGTTGGAGGGACAGGTGCAAGGGAATGTGTGCCCCCTGTCCCCAAATGATGTTCCTAGAGTTTAAAAAGACAAAATTCCTCAAAGTGCTAAGGTGCATTTTTAAGTACATCTTCGGATTTCTTTGTTCTTTCACCAGTGCAGCTTAATAGTCTTTAATGTTCATTTAACTAGATACGATGATATCACCATTTCTTGGAACTACCCAGCATTTTCTACATAAAATCCACAAGGATAAAACCTCGGATGGGGAGGAGAAGGCATAACAAGGCCACTGATGTTATCTGGATAGACCATTCATTTCTGCTTTCCTGTGGTAGGAAACATCTGGGTTTGCCAGTCTCATATCCTCAGGCTCAAATGCTATATTCCGATTTGCATAGCTTCCACTGAAGAATCTGGACAAATGTGATTAAGCTCAGAAGGATGCAGGAAAGAAGGAAGACAATTAAAATCACTCAACCATTTAGAAACACGGGTCCTTTTCCCTCCCCCCACCCCATTCCCTAAAATACAAGCAGTAAGCATCCTCTGTGAAAGCTCTAATATAAAAACCAATTAAGAAATGCACTTCTACAGTTTTTATACCAACTTACTTCTCTTATCATCAAGGTCCCTTCTCTTGAAATACTGCTGCTGAAAGTGTCTGCGTGAGAGGTCTCCAGCCCGTGCGTGCCGACTATTCCCACATTGTATGGCTCAGCGCTCCCAGGGGCTCCTGTGGGTCTGAAATGGGAAGGACAACATTCACCACAGTGTATGTTTACGGAACACCTGTTTCCTGTGCACAGCAATATTTTTTATTGTAGTGAAATATACATAACATGAAATTTACCATTTTAACCATTTGAAGTGTAAAGGTCAGTGGCCTGAAGTACATTCCACTTTCATCTTTAATGCCGCACGGATGCTTGAATTGAGGTCCCACTTCTGCAGCGTCCCCTCTGGACCTACTCTCCACTCGGCAGCCAGCACGAGCAGCCGGGCTCTGCATGATCTCTAAGCCCTCCCTACCCTGTCTTTGACCAGCAGGCGCCCTGGATTTTGCACCTGCTGTTCCCTCTGCCTGGAAAGCTCTCTCTCACCCTGGCTGTTGGCTGGTTCCCTCTCACTTATCTGACTTCATCTTATCTGACACTTTCCCTGAGAAGCCTTCTCTCACCACCCATCAGTGTCTTATCCCACTAGCCCCTCTTCTTTCTCTTCATCCTTTTTCCTTAATAGTTCCCATTACAATTTGTAATTCTTTATCTTTTTGACTCTTTTAACTTTTCTATTCTCTCTCATTAGAACAGATGCTTGTGAGGGCAGAATTCTTGTCTCTTTGTTCATCCCTGTATACCTAGTACCCAGCATAGAGCTTGGCACAGAGTAGGAGTATAAAAAATAATCATTTCATAAGTGGGTTTTACACTATTTAGAGAGAAGAATATCAATTAAGGGCATTCTGGTATACCAGGCACCCATTAACGAGGCTGTTTAACTCAAGAGTGTCCAGTACTTTCTAAAACCTCTGTAATCACCCCACACTGTGGTATATTTACTTCCAGTTTGTCTGTTGCTCTTGTGTTTAAGATACAGTGGGAGAAGGCAATAGGACCTTGACATCTCTGCCCTGAGAGCAGAGAATGAGGGTTGCTGTGGCCCTTGGCACAGAGCACAGCACAGTGGGAAACTGAGGACCAGGCGGGCAATGCGGCCCACCTGCAGGACTTCAGTTTTCAGTGTTGGACCTATTGTTACCCTACTGTGCAGCCAACTCTCTTGTAAAGTGGGTTTTTTAGAAATAGGAAAGGCACCAGGGTTTGTTTCTCTCAGGTGTATTAATTACATCTTTTACCATTTTGTTCTTTTCTTTTAATTGCTTCTCATACATTAAAAAAGCATCTCTGAAGAGAAATACCACATGATATCACTTATATGTGGAATCTAAAAGACGACAGAAATGAACCTATGTACGTATGAAACGGAAACAGACTCACAGACATAGAGAAGAGACATAGAGAAGATGCCAAGGGGGAGGGATGGAGTGGGAGTTTGGAGTTAACAGAGGCAAACTATTACGTATAGAATGGATAAACAACAAGGTCCCACTCTATAGCACAGGGAACTGTATTCAATATCCTAGGATAAACATATGGAAAAGAATAGAAAAAAGAATGTATATATATGTATAACTGAATCACTTTGCTTACAGCAGAAATTAGCACGACATTGTAAGTCAACTATACTTCAATAAAAGATAAATTTAAAAAAGTAAAAAAAAATGTACATTCCCACCAAGAGCGCAAGAGGGTTACCTTTTCTCCACACCCTCTCCAGCATTTATTGTTTGTGGATTTTTTGTTGTTGTTTGTAGATTTTTAAATCATGGCCATTCTGACTGGTGTAAGGTGATAGCTCATTGTAGACTGTTAAATATTTTTAAATTAAAAAAATTTTTTTTAACATCTTTACTGGAGTATAATTGCTTTACAATGGTGTGTTAGTTTCTGCTTTATAACAAAGTGAATCAGCTATACATATACATATATCCCCATATCTCCTCCCTCTTGCGTCTCCCTCCCACCCTCCCTATCCCACCCCTCTAGGTTGTCACAAAGCACCAAGCTAATCTCCCTGTGCTGTGCGGCTGCTTCCCACTAGCTATCTATTTTACATTTGGTAATGTATATAAGTCCATGCCACTCTCTCACTTCGTCTCAGCTTACCCTTCCCCATCCCTGTGTCCTCAAGTCCATTCTCTACATCTGCATCTTTATTCCTGTCCTGCCCCTACGTTCTTCATAACCTTTTTTTTTTTTTTTTAAGATTCCCTATATATGTGTTAGCATACGGTATTTGTCTTGCTCTCTCTGACTTACTTAACTCTATGACAGACTGTAGGTCCATCCAACTCACTACAATAACTCAATTTCGTTTCTTTTTATGGCTGAGTAATATTCCATTGTATATATGTGCCACATCTTCTTTATCCATTCATCTGTCAATGGACACTTAGGTTGCTTCCATGTCCTAGCATTTGCAAATAGAGCTGCAATGAACATTGTGGTACATGACTCTTTTTTTCTTTCTTTTTTTTCTGTGGTACGTGGGGCTCTCACTGTTGTGGCCTCTCCCGTTGCGGAGCACAGGCTCCGGACGCGCAGGCTCAGCGGCCATGGCTCACGGGCCTAGCCGCTCCACAGCATGTGGGATCTTCCCGGACCGGGGCACGAACCCGTGTCCCCTGCATCGGCAGGCGGACTCTTAACCACTGTGCCAGCAGGGAAGCCCCATGACTCTTTTTGAATTATGCTTTTCTCCAGCTATATGCCCAATAGTGGGATTGCTGGATCATATGGTAGTTCTATTTTTAGTTTTTTAAGGAACCTCCATACTGTTCTCCATAGTGGCTGTATCAATTTACATTCTGACCAACAGTGCAAGAGGGTTCCCTTTTCTCCACACCCTTTCCATCATTTATTGTTAGTAGATTTTTTGATGATGGCCATTCTAACCAGTGTGAGGTGATACCTCCTTGTAGTTTTGATTTTCATCTCTCTCATGATTAGTGAGGTTGAGCATCCTTTCATGTGTTTGTCGGCCATCTGTATGTCTTCTTTGGAGAAATGTCTATTTAGGTCTTCTGCCCATTTTTGGATTGGGTTGTTTGTTTCTTTGATATTGAGCTGCATGTGCTCCTTGTATATTTTGGAGATTAATCCTTTGCCAGTCGCTTCATTTGCAAATATCTTCTCCCGTTCTGAGGGTTGTCTTTTTGTCTTGTTTATGGTTTCCTTTGCTGTGCAAAAGATTTGAAGTTTCATTAGGTCCCATTTGTTTATTTTTGTTTTTATTTCCATTTCTCTAGGAGGTGGGTCAAAAAGGATCTTGCTGTGATTGAATTGATACAGCCACTATGGAGAACAGTATGGAGGTTCCTTAAAGAACTAAAAATAGAACTACCATATGACCGAGCAATCCCACTACTGGGCATATACTCTGAGAAAACCATAATTCAAAAAGATACATGTACCACAATGTTCATTGCAGCACTATTTACAATAGCTAGGACATGGAAGCAACCTAAGTGTCCATCGACAGATGAATGGATAAAGAAGGTGTGGCACATATATACAATGGAATATTACTTAGCCATAAAAAGAAACGAAATTGAATTATTCGTAGTGAGGTGGATGGACCTAGAGTCTGTCATACAGAGTGAAGTAAGTCAGAAAGAGAAAAACAAATACCATATGCTAACACATATATATGGCATCTAAAAAAAAAATGGTTATGAAGAATGTAGGGGCAGGACTGGAAGAAAGATGCAGGTGTAGAGAATGGACTTGAGGACACGGGGAGGGGGAAGGGTAAGCTGGGACGGAGTGAGAGAGTGGCACTGACATATATATGCTGCCAAATATAAAATAGCTAGCGGGATAGCAGCTGCATAGCATTGGGAGATCAGTTCCGTGCTTTGTGACCACCTAGAGGGGTGGGATAGGGAGGGTGGGAGGGAGACGCAAGAGGGAGGAGATATGGGGATATATGTATATGTACAGCTGATTCACTTTGTTATACAGCAGAAACTAACACAACATTGTAAGGCAATTATACTCCAATAAAGATGTTAAAATAAATAAATATTTTTAAAAAGTAAAAAAAAAAAAAAAAAAGGCATCTTCGGTTTCTTGGATCCTATCAAAGTCCAAGGACTTGATGGAATATTCAATCTAAGAAACACACCAGTCTTATGACATCTCTGGGACAGAGAAGACACCTGTCAAGGAGCTTTATCCAAAACGGAGAGGCAAAAATATGAAGAGGTGAATCCAGACCAAAAAAATGTACAGGAAGACACTTACTTTGAAATTACTAAACTAGAGCAGTGGATTGAATACATTTAAGTACAGGTTAGAACTGATGCGTTTGGGAAGAAACTCCAAAGAAGCATTTTCAATATTTCACTCCCAGAAAGGAGCTATTACTAGTGTTCAAGAGACACGGAAAAAGAAATTGCTGTAATGAATTCCTGGTGTATTGCTAGATTGGTAAATCAGAATAATTCTCAAAACTCTGATTTCTTCACTCATTTATTTGAAAATTTGTTTTATCTTGTACGCATTTTATTTTTAGTTGCCTTAAATTCTTGTTTAAGGTAAGGTGGTGTAAAACAAATCAATCAGTAAATGAAGCGTTTATGAAGAGCCAAAGTCTCCTAGGACAGGAGGCACTTTCCTCCATCACTCAGGCATTCTTTACCAGGGTCAGAGGCTAGATGGACCTGGTAGCTGCCACCAGGCTAACACTGTACAATCAAGTTCTCTTTCAGAGTCTCACCTGAGTTCAAAGATTAAAGATATTTTGGCTCCACATCTGTTTTTACCCCAATGGTGTTCTGATTCTTTTTTTTTTTCAATTTTATACAGCAGGTTCTTATTAGTTATCTATTTTACACATATTACTGTACACATGTCAATCCCAATCTCCCAATTCATCCCACCACCACCCCACCGCCGCTTTCCCCTCTTAGTGTCCATACGTTTGTTCTCTACATCTGTGTCTCTATTTCTGCCCTGCAAACTGGTTCATCTGTATCATTTTTCTAGGTTCTACATATATGCATTAATATATGATATTTGTTTTTCTTTCTGACTTACTTCACTCTGTATGACAGTCTCTAGATCCATCCACGTCTCTACAAGTGACCCAATTTCATTCCTTTTTATGGCTGAGTAATA